GGGCTGCAGGTGGAATCATGACAGATGGAGTGGGAAATGCCTGGACTGGGAGACGAAGGGTCTTGTAAGGGTCAGGGGCTGATGCTTTAGATCTCACGGGGGTGGTGAATTGGAAGATGGGAGGGTGGGCTCATCCTGTTTTAGTCACAGCCTGGTGGGCTATTCTTTCCTTGGCCGCCAGGGGGAGCTCTTAAATTTGTGATTTAAGAGCTCCGCCCCGCCCAGTCCCTCCAGCATCCTTGCATCCTGCCTCTGTTCTAATGTAGTTCAAGGTTCCCATGGACTTAAAAGAAACCCCAAAGCCCGTACTGTTTTATTTTCCTCGTGGAATGTGTCAGTTTATTATTCTTCCTATAGATAGTAAGCTCAGAAAAACTTGATTATCCTATTCACTATAGCCGCAGCTCCTAAAAACATAACCTGGCACAAAATATCGGTGTTGTATCGGTGTCTTATAGCTGCTGCAGCAAATTATTAAAACTCAGTGGCTTAAGGCAACACAAATTTATTATCCTGGAGGTCGAAAGTCCAAAATCAAGGTGTCGGTAGAGCTGGTTCTTTCTGGAGGTTTTAGGGGAGAATCCTTTTCCATGTTTTTTTCTAGCTTCTGGAGGCTGCTGCCTTCCTTGGCTCTTGGCCCATTTCTGTCCTCAAAGACGGCAATCGTCACATCTTCTCCAACTCCGACCCCGCTGCTTCCCTCTTTCACTGGGCCCACCTGGATGCAGGGTAATCTCCCCCATCCCAAGGTCCTTAACTTAATCACATCTGCACAATCTCTTTTTTTGTCTGTTAGGTCACACACTTACAGGTTCCAGGAATTAGGACATGGCCATTTGGGGGCAGAGAGTGTTATTCTGCTAAACAAAATATTTCTTGAATTACTGCATGGGTGTAACAGAAGGAGTGAACAATATGCTATTATATCATCTTCCAGGCCTCTGAGGCCCTTCCCTGAGCATAAAAGGGTCAATACTCATCATTTCCTTTGCTTTCCCCAGACAGAGGTAGGAGGCATGCACAGTATAGGATGAGTTGAACTCCATGTATCTGGATTAGAAGCATCTATTTTGTTCCTCTCTGTGGTTCAGATCCCCACTCAATCACTTATTAGCTATAGGCAGTTGCTTACTGCTTCTAAGCCTCGGTGTTCCCACCTGTGAAATGGGGATGAATTTGGATGTTCTTTATTAAGCCCTGGCTTAATTCAAAAAAACCTGAATTCAAAACCCCAGTCCTGGCCTTTACTTGCTGTGTAACCTTGGGCAAATGGCATAACTCCTTGGTTTCCTTGGTGGTGAAATGGAGCTAATGATAACAGCTGACTATTACCTGCATGCACACAAAATTAAATGAGATAATATATGTAAAGAGCTTATTTGGCAGTTGAGCTTGGTACATGACAACACTCACAAAACACATATCTTTTATTCTTATTTTCTTCATATTATTCTTACATCTTTTCCTCTTATTCTTTTTCCTCCTCCTCCTCCTCGATTTTATCATCACCTGTTTTTACCTGGTGTCGTATCTGTGTTAAATGGTTTTTCCATGTCTGATTCCTCTGTTAGCCTGAGTTCCATCTCACCAGGTCAGAGCCCGAGTTTTTCCTTTGAAAGCTCTAGATACCACGAATGCTTTATGAATGTCGATGCCTTCTGTCGAAGCTTCTATTTGTCTATCTGGCTACCAAGGTGTTATTGCCTTCTATAAGGAGGTGCTTTTGAGAGGGCATCGCCAGCCGGACCTATAGAAGGGAGAAGAACCCTCCTCCTCATGCACACTTTTTTTTTTCAGGGCCCGGAAAATAAAATATCCTAAGAATTTGTTGTGGTTCTTCCCCCTGGGACAGAAGGCAGCAGAGCTGCACACAGTTCTGCCTCAGTGTCTGCCTGACTTGTTATCAGAAAATTAGAGTAGAAAAGAATCTTTTGTTCAGCTGTGGAGACATCTTAATAGGTGCTTTGACTGTCAAGCAGAAGTGTCTATATCACTTTAATTGCTGTAAGTGCTGTTTGCTTTCTCTGTTATGACGAGGCCTGGATTTTCATAGATTTTTTTTCCCTCCCTTACCCTTGAAACAGTGCTCCTTTGCGTTAAGGCTGGCCATGGCAAGTTTAATGAAATCCAGACGAGGAAAGTAAAGAGAGGATCTCAAAGTTCAGCGCTTCACACCCACATACGAGGCCGTGTGGAGGTTATTATTGCTTGAGACTAACAGCCGCTTAATGTAATTGACGGAATGCACTCCTTCAACCAGATACGGGGAAATGAAACCAAACTACTAAACTTAATTACTTCGACTTTCTGGAGGAGGTGCTGTAATTGAGAACAAGCATATGAATCTAACTGTGGAGATGTGCTTATAATAAAAGAGGATTTTCTCTCTGCTCCTAGAGCTTCAGGAGGACCATCCTGCTCCTTTTGGAGGTGATGGGGCTAGGCAGGCGGCTAGAGAAGTAAAAACCACCCGAATCCAGGATTCTCATGCTACGACCACACACACACCCTAGCATGACAACCAGAAATATCTCCAGACATTGCCACATGCCTCTTGGGGGCCAAAAGTGCTCCTGGTTGGAAATACTGGTGCAGGCGCTTTTGGAGGACTTGTGAACAATTGCAGAGTTACACGTTGAGGCTCTGCTAGTACCTTTAGCAAATCATTGCACCCGTCTGAGCTCCTGTGTCTGCCTTTGTCCAGAGGGAATAATGACAATGAGTGCATGGAACTTCCGGGTATACGCTTCACAGCATAATGCCTAACACGTATTGAGTGATCCATAAACTCGGTGTTTATATTATAAATACCTTGGGATTCAGCAAACGTGTATTAAGTACTTACTTTGTCGCAGGCACTATGTTATGAGGCAGTGAGGCAAAGATGAAGATGTGGTCCCTCCTTGCCAGAGGGGCAAATATATGCAGACTTGTAGGTACTACCTCATTCTTCACCCCTGGCAGACATTGCTGATCGATCTCAGGGCTTTCCTATCAAGCTTCAAAATCCTTCTCAACACACCTTTCTAGACAGCCGCTACTAATGTCCTGTGAGATGAAACTCCCTTGGCATTCCTAGTTTTGTAGATGCCCCACGAGGGAGCTGTGTATCTGAGCTAACTTCCTCTCCAGCACAGCCCGTCACACCTCCGCCCACCTCTGGCACGGGAGAGAGCAGTTTAAGGAGTTAGCAGGTAGCGTTCTCCCTCCCACATCTGACTTCAGTCCCCAAAGGAGATGAGAATAGAAAGAACGCTCTCTCTTTTTAAAACGGCTTTCCTTTCTTGCCTTTTTTGTTCCCCTCAGAAACGGAAACAAGTAGTAAAATGGGCTTGGACTGGATGACATTTAGTTTTTAGTTAAACCAGAGGAAATTCCACTGGCTATGATTCTGATATATTGTGCTGCCTCCCTCTTGGGTTTTCTCTGCCCTTTGGGTCTTGGAAAATCATTCGCTCTCCCAGAAAGGGTCCCCGCTTTACCAGGACAGAATTGGGGTTTCTGGAAACAGTGTTCAGATGGCTGCAGACGGCGTCATTAGACAGAAGAGAGGAGCGACTGGGTTGGGGGTTAAATGCTCCCCGATCGGTTAGGACAAGCCTGGCTCCTTTATGAGTGTGGCACTCCATAACAATTGCTGTGAAAAATGAGGCGTGCATTTTCAGCTTGGAAACGGAGCTGGCTCCATCCATCTGGCCTGAGAAAATGGGAGCTGGCATGTGGGTCAGCCCCTGGCTGCTTCTCTCCTTAGCTGGTGGAGATTTCACAGGCAGTCCTACTTCATTTCTGTGTTGTTTCACACCTCTTAGGGACTTCGAGGTCTGTGAGGAGGGTGGTGCTGGCAGCTGGCTAGTGGAGTGAAGGTGGGGGCTGGTACTCACGGTCAGACAGGGGTAGAGTGAGAGTGGAGGTGGCTGGGATTTAGCCTAAGCATGCAAGAAAAGACCAGATGGGAACCGGCATCCAGCCTGAAGTCTGTGTGACTTATTGTTTCTTCCTTTTTTCCATTCATCCCTCAATCCATCCATCTATCCATCCCTCCATTCTATCCATCCCTCCATTCAACTGTCCATCCCTCCATTCAACTATCCATCCACCCACCCATCCAATCATTCATTTATCAACCTATCCAAGCAGTCATCCACCATCCACCTATCTATCTATACATCCATCCACCCACCCACCAATCTATCTACCTATCCATCTATCCATCCATCACCCACCCATCATCCACTCATCAGTCCATCCCCTTATTCTAGCATGAGTTTACATGGTACATGGTACATGGTTGGGCGTATTTTAAATAGTTACCTACAATATAGAGAGAGAGAGATATGAGTTTTCCGTATAGAGTTTGCTTTTTAAATAACTGTGTTTAAACAAACAAAAAGAGTCAACTTCAAATAATGAATAAATAAGTTTTGGGTTGTACAGAAGCATGAAAAAATGTAGGAAGGTAGTCTTTGCATGACTGGCATCTGGGATCTACCTCATTAGAACTTTGCATGCAAGGGTACGTGTTCTAGAGTCCCTCAAGCCTGGATTCACAGCTGCTCTGCAGCCTCCGAGGTGTATGACCTTGAGCAGACGACCCTTTCTCCAAGCCTTAGATTCCTCATCTGTAAGGTGGGGATGCTAACAACCCCTATCCTTGGGACTGTTTTTGATGATGTAACAAGCTAAGGCATGTGGGTCACTTAGCACATGCCTGGCATCCACTAAGCACTCTGTGAATGGAAGTGATGCTCAATTTTATTCTTTGCACAGCTGGCTTCGTTCAAGGTACTCTCTGGCAGCCCTGCCCAGGGGACCTTGCATGGGCCAAGATAACACAAGCTAAACCAGTGTTCCGCTTAGCTTTGGTTTGACAAGTGATACAGTCAGTGTCCTTCCTGAGGCCAGCGGGCCTCCCTCTCCCTTTTAGGGTTTGGCTAGAGCCCACCCCAGTCTCCAGTCCTCTGTGTAACAGGCTCATCTCTTTCTCTCTTCTCTCCCTGCAGACACACTGTCAGTGCCACGCTGGTCCCCTCAGATCCCTCGCAGAGACCTTGGAAACTCCATCAAGCACAGGTAGGCTGGATTCCTGGGTGCCCGCCTCCCAGCACGGTGAGGGCTGGGGACTCTAGCCCCTGGGGTAGGGACAGGCTGGGAAGAGATGTTTCCCCCAGCTCCTGTGCAACCATGCCCCTCTCTTTTGTGCCAGGCTAAACCTCGGTGTGGCAGCTAGGGACTGAGATGTCTGCGTCTTTTTAGCTGGGTCCTTATAAAATAAGTACATAATGGTTAAAAGCCGGAGCTCTGGAGTCAGACTGACTTGTCCCATCCCAGGTGGTAAAGCTTTGCAACCTTGAGATAGACAGTTACCTAACCTCTCAGACTCAATTTTCTCATCAGATAATTCTGCCTACCCATAGGGTGGTTATGAGGATTAAACAAGATACTATATTAAAGCGCTAAGCAGAGGCCCTGGCACATAATAACCACTCAATAAATGGTATTATTGTCAAGACAAATGCTTTATGTCCTAATTTTGGCTTTCCCCACCCAGAAGACAGAAGAATGCAGGCTGAACTCAGAGATGCTCGCTCCCTGCTGAGGTGTAAATTGGTCCAGAGTTCCAGACCTCTTTGGGTGCATGGGACAACCTCTCCATGGGCACAGCTGCCCTTTTCGGGAGGGAGATTTTCATCTATTAGTCAGTCCTCCCTTATGAAAAATTCTTTAACTTTCCACATTGTATTTCATGATCCTCATAAACTCCTCACAACTCAGTGGGGTAAGCAGTGCAAGTGTGGTCACGGCCATTTAACAGACAGGAAAACTGAAGCCCTGGACGATTAAGTGATGGGTCTACAAGTTAATTGACCTCAGCGTTTTGTGTTCTGTGAACACCGCTGCTGAGAGTTTTCCTTGCACCGAGGCTTCCGGGAACTAGCCGAGGGACTGGTTCACTCATTCCTGGATTCTTTCCACTCCCATTTGTACAGAATTTCTGTGCCAGGGCTGCAGCACTGAGCGAGAGTAAGACCTGTGCCCTCGGGGAGCTCACGGTCTAGTGGAGGGTTAGACGGTTAACAGACCGTGACAGTATAGAGAGACCAGGGCTATGGGGGCAGAGGGCAATACCAGGGGCAGACACATCCTATAGCTGGGGTGAGACGGCAGTGAGCACACTCTCCCGGAAAGGCATCTCATCAACAGCTCTCGAAAGAAGTATGTTGACAGGATAGTCGTTAAGTCTCAAACAAGAAAATGGTGGAGGAAGTAGTGAGAAATATGTGGTAGCCACGTCATGGTCAGGCAGTAAGATGCAGAGAGAAAGGCATCAAATAGAAGGGCCTTTTTGTTTGTTTCTTCTGCACTGCTCACGGGAGCAGCCCCACCCCTGGATTGGCCCCGCCCCTGGCTCAGCTCCACCTCTGGATTGGCCATGCCCTTGGCTCAGCTCCACCCCTCGATTGGCCACACCCCTGGCTCAGCCCCACCCCCAAGCTCTAGCACCTGATGGTATCTCACATTCAAAAGCTGATGGCTAGAGGAGGGAGATGACCTGATGATCTTGGACATCAGGACCGTCTTCTTAAAGGAGCTGGGACTCATTGGTCTTGCCCTGTGTTTCACCCTGGGCTCCATGTCACGAGGGAGAGACCTGGATTCAAACGAGCCTTGGTGAAAAAAAATGAAGTTAAAATTTCATCCCATCCACTGTCTTCAGAATCAACTCAGCTGGAGCTTGGGAAGAGGGAGAGCTGATTCCAGGGTGGGAGAGGGCTGGAAAGGAGAGCGAACTCCCGCCTACGTCTCACACTGGCCTGCCATTGATTTCCATGCTGCTGGCTGGTGGGTGAAACACCATCCCCTATAGCTGCCAAATCCTGCACAACAGACCCTCCCAAACTCATTGGCCCTCCCGAGGGGCTGAAAGGGGCTAACCCAACCCCCAGTCCAAAACTGGAGAGGGACTTGTATTGACCACAAGAATCCCTCTGTTGAGAATATTACAATTTGCTTAGATATGGAGGGTTTGGGCTGCGGCTTATTCTGTTTGGAGAGTGACGGACCCAAAGGAGGCCGGATGGATGGTACAGCAGAGGGATGCAAACTTGCCCTCAGCATTCTCAAGCACCAAGTTACATAATCACTTCCGATTTTCATTTCGACACTCTGAGGCAGTAGAGATTAGATACGACTCCTGCTGAAGGTGAGAGAAATTGAAAATGAAAATTAACTCTGGCCGAGCAACCTTCAGTGCTTTTTCTTGAGTCCAGCCCTGCCGCTGCCTGGTATCTCTTGGAGAAGAAAGTACCCTGGCAGCAATGGGGGGCTCAGGAAGTTAATCAAATGTTACCTCTTTTCCTGCTGGTTCATAACTACATATTGGAGGCCTCCAAACTGCCTTGTTTGCAGCAAGTGGTGATGGTCAGGGAGCGGGGTGAGCTGATGGTCTGAAAAGGCTTTTTACGTTAGCTGATTCTGCTACTAAGTTTGGGGGGGGTCTCAGCTTTTTTGGGGGGAGGCCCCCTCTTGAAGCTTCCCAGGTGACATGACTAGCAGTGATGGGGAATGACTTAGCTAGATTCCCGGGAAGCCCCACCTTGCTTTGTGGTTCTCCAAGGACAGTTCCAGCCCCATCCATCGCTCTCTCCTGGAATTGAACTTGGCACATAGTAGGCTACCAGGCAATATTTGTTGAATGAATGAATGACTGTTATGAATGATTCGGTAATAATATAGCCACAACCTAATTCACTGAGTGCTTACTATGTATCAGGCACTGTGCGAAGCCCCTGACATGCGTGGCTTTGTTTAATCCTCCCAGCAACCTATGAGGTCGATATTTTTATTATCCCCACTTTACAGATGAGAAGCCTGAGGCTCCAGTGGTGAAAGCCACTTGATTAAGTCACATATCTCAGAAGAAGTAGACCTGGATTCCAGGGCACGTGTGCTTACCCATTAAGTGGTTCATCCTTTTAGAGACAGGTCGGTCGCCATGACCTTGCCTTTGAACAATTTCTGTCTTTTCCACAGGTTTTCCACCAAGTACTGGATGTCTCAGACGTGCACAGTCTGTGGGAAAGGGATGCTTTTTGGCCTCAAGTGTAAAAATTGCAAGTAAGTGGCTGTACCTGGCAGTGTCTTTTCGTGGTGTCTGATGTCAGAGCCTACTGGGCTCTGAAATAGCTTATGGGAATTTGGCTTTTTTTGACTCTCAGGAGAGTTGCTTGTTCTGTTTTTTTAGAAATAGGTCTTAAATGAACCAGTACATTTGGGTAAGGGCTCAAGGAGCGCCCTTCTGAATAAGAACCTGAGCTGATAGAGAAGGCTCAAAATGCACAAAATGCTGAGGCATGGGGGCACCTTGCATTTTCACAGCTTCTAAGACAGCGGTTCTCAACCTTCCTAATGCCACGACCCCTTAATACAGCTCCTCATGTTGTGGTGACCCCCAACCATAAAATTATTTTCGTTGCTACTCTATAACTGTAATTTTGCTACTGTTATGAATCGCAATGTAAATATCTATNGGACTTAGCCATGGTAGAGAGATGCAAAGACATGTTAGCACAAGAACCCCCTCTCTCCAAAGCAATCAGAGTGAAGGGGAACTGGAGACGGACTGATGTTCTCATGACATGATTTGGCATTTTTCATGCAGCCATCATCCCTCCTTGCTTCCCTCTGCACTCCCGGTGGCCCCAGGTCTAGCTTTTCCACATCAGAGAGAATTCAGAGCCCTTTAGGCCCCTCAAAGACTGAACACATGAAAAATGGAGGAAATGTGCACAGATGTTCCCAAGCCATCCGCTAGACCAGTGGTTCCCACGCTTGAGTGCATCAGACTCACCTGGAGGGCTTGTCCAAACAGATTCCTGCATCTCAACCCGGAGTCTCTCTGATTCATCAGCTCCGGGGCCCAAAGTTACATTTCTGAAAAGTTCCCAGATGGTGCTGATACTGCTGTTCTGAGAACTCTACTTGTGAGAACCACAGCGCTAGACTAATGGGGAGAATCGATGTGAAGTCTCTGTCGGGGCA